TCCTGGGCAGAGCCTGACCCCATTCTGGGCAGAGCCTGACCCCATTCCTGGGCAGACCCTGACCCCATTCCTGGGCAAACCCTGACCCAATTCTGGGCAGAGCCTGACCCCATTCTCACGCAAAGCCTGACCCCACACCCAAGTGGATCCCGGCCCTATTTTTGGGCAGACCCCGGCCCCACTCCCTCGCTGCCGGCGCCGCCCGTCTCTCCCCAGCAGAGCGCAGCACAACCTCTCCGTACCTCGAGCATCCGGACCTGCTGAGATCCCTCGCTCCCGGGCTGTGTCCCGCTGCTCCTCTGGGACACGGGCAAAGCTTCCCGAAGGCTCCAACACACCCCAGACCACAGTCCAGGACTCTGTGAGTCTCTTAAGAAAACAATTCCCTACGGATTTTCCATCCAGGTGCTCCGGGTGTGGAGTTAAACTGAAAACAAACCTGGGAGCCAAGCCAGGATCAAGGCCAGAGAAGGACCAAGACCAGTGTCATCAGTGTCACCAACACAGGGTGTTTTTGGGAGAGGTTGGTGGTGCCTGCTCACACCCCCAGGGCAGCCCTATAGCTGTGGGTATCCCCAGGGGAAGGGTTTGGGGTGCAGCACAGCAATTTTGTTCCAAATTCACACAGAAATCATCGTTCCTGAGCCAGGAACAGCCAGACCATGCCGTGGGCAGGTGCTGCTGTAGCCCAGCACCCCTGGGCACACCAGGACAGAAACGATTCTTCCCCTTGGGGCAGCCCCGGCAGGGCCCCGCTGTCCCTCCCTGTGCCCCACACGTCCCCCTCAGCCCTGGACAACACAAGGGCCGCTTGTTGGGTGGCCCAGCAGCACAGGGAGGTGGCTCAGGGCCCCGGACACAAAGAGCCCGCAGCTGCCCCGGGCTGAGGTGTCACACAAGGCTCTGATTGTCACAGGCACAGGCCAAGGGCGGGCTCTGGCCCTGGCTCCTGAGGAAGGCAGGCAGATAACAGCACTGTGCAGCTTTATTGAATCACTTGGTTACAGCAGTATTTTAGCAGACTGGACAGTCAGAGAGTTTTGTTTGAAGTGTAACAGATATTCAGCATGGAACAGTTACTACAGATTCCTTGCACAAAGGTCTTACAGAGCTGATACAGTACTCGCCATCAACCCAGGAGCGAGTGCACTGGCGTAGAAAAGGATGCAACAAGAAGAAAAAGCTACACTGGAAAGACAACACTTTAGAAAAGTGACACATGGAAGGTCTCCCCTCTAGCCCCCAAAGCAAGTGTACAGTTTGGATCTAATTTTACAGTTCTACATCAGTTTCTAAGAAACGTAAAAAAAAAAATATATATATAACCGAACCAAAAGCAAAGAGAAAACCACTGGCCAGTACAGTCTTTGGATATTTGGAGGAGGGGGAGAGTCAGCTTCCAGAACGGAGTCAGTCGGTCTCGGCCTCGCCGGGGTCTTTGCCCTCTTTGTTCTTTCGAACCTCTTCCACGTGCTTGTCCTGAAAAACAGCAGCAGGAGCAGTGAGCTGCAGGGAAAGGAGACCCTGGGAAGGGCTTCCCACCCAGGAGGGGCGCAGGGGCTGAGGCTGCTCAGCTCCAGCCAGCTGGAATGCTGCAGAGCCTTTTGCAGATGCCACAGCCAGACTGGCAGCGCAGCCCTCCCGCCCTGCTCGGGGCAGCCCTCCTGGTGGGGAGGATTTTTGGGGGGTTCACCTCCTCGTGGGGAGGATTTTTGGGGGTTTTACCTCCTGGTGGGGAGGATTTTTGGGGGTTTCACCTCCTGGTGGGGAGGATTTTTGGGGGGTTCACCTCCTGGTGGGGAGGATTTTTGGGGGTTTTACCTCCTCGTGGGGAGGTTTTTTGGGGGTTTCACCTCCTCGTGGGGAGGATTTTTGGGGGGTTCACCTCCTCGTGGGGAGGATTTTTGGGGGTTTCACCTGTTCCCAGCGGGGAGCAGGGCCAGCTCCCTCTGGCAGGGCTCCACACCCACCTTCTCCCGCAAGCGCTCCAGCTTGGCAGCCATTTGTGCCTCGCGGTTCTCTTTGTTGGCTTCCATCTTGTGGGTCAGCTTCTCCTCTGCCATTTTGCTGAAGTTGTTGTTCTCCTCGATGGCTTTCTGCAGCACCTCCTTCTCGTGCTCCCGCTTCTCGGCCAGCTGCTTCAGCACTTCTGCCTCGTGGGACTGGCGGGACACGGGCCAGGGGGTGAGGGCAGGGGGGGAACCCCACGGGGGCTCCTCTGACACAGCTCTGGGGGTCCCCACCCTCCCACAGAACCTGCACTTCACCACCCCATCCACCTGCAAAGCTCAGCGTCTGTCACTGCCTGCAGGTCCTGTTAAATGGGATTTTTCTGGCGAGGGAACACTGATTGTTTTTGATGTTAACACAAAGAACTTTCCTTGAAGATCCTCCCTGCTCAGAGCGGTGAATCTCGGAGATTCAGGTCAGGCTCACTTCAATCAAAGCCTCGCCACCCTCAAGGGCTCCAGGCTGCACCCCCAGCCACGTCTTTCATCACTCAGACAATTTATTCCCCAACTTCTCATTACAGACTCACTGCTGCATTTTCTGGGAGAAAATTCATCTGTTCTGGTGTTAAAAGACAAGAAAAACAGCTTCTTCCTGAAAGAGCTATCCCTCTCAGCTTCATCCCCCCCAGTTTTTCTTCAGAATCTCTTTGGTACCAAAACCATGGCCATAAACCTTTTTAAGAGCCCCAGGGATTTAATTAATAATATTCAATTTGCCATAAAAAAACCCACCTATCCCAAGAAACAAATAAAAAAAAAGCCCCAAACCTCCTGAAAAGAGTGGAGCAGAGCTCACTTCTGCTGCTCCAGATTTACCTTGCGTCTCTCCTCTGCTGCTTCCAACTTCTTCTGGATCTCCTCCAGTGAGACATCCTTCTTCTTGGGGGGAGACAGAGGGAACTCTGCCACGGCTTCTTTCGAGCGGGGGCTGAGGATCAGCTCAAAGGCCTGCCCCGAGGCTCGCTTCTCCAGCTCCTTCACTTGGATGTCTGGGAACACAGGGGGAAAAGCCACCAAAACGAGTATTTCATGCAGCAACTGGCTCAGGGGATGTTAAAAGCAGCCTTCCAAAATTCAGCACCACTAAGTTCCCTGAGGAAGGGCAGCCAAGACAGGAGGTTTGTTTTCAGAGCTGCAATACGGTTAAAAATGTGCAAATTTCCTTTGCCACCCTTCCTTGATCCTACATCACCCATACACCTCATGTTCTAATTCAGCCCTCAGCATCCCAAGTGGTGACAACAAATCAAAAATCATTCTCCCTCCAGTGACAAAGCTGGGGATGAAATTCCAGGCGTTTGCCTGCAACCTGAGAGAGCCAAGAAGGAAAAAAGCAATTTTTGGAGCAATCTGCAGGCAGGGCTCTCTCCCCCAGCCCTGCACGGCGTCAGCTGCAGCCGCGTGGTCCCCGAGATGTCTCGGTGACAGCCAGCTCTGCCGAGGGAGCAGATGGCTGCAGGGAGCTGCAGCCCATCTGCTGCCAGACTCCTCTTTTGGGCTGTTTTCACAACCACCCAGCTTCAACAGCCTCGCCCAAGATGGGAGAAAAGCCTGGTGACAGCAGCTTACTTCACTAGATTTGGGTTTTAAGTTAGTCCCGAGGAAATTAGGCAAAATAAGGAAAAAAAAAAAAAAAAAAAAAAAAAAAANAAAAAAAAAAAAAAGCGCATTTAGCACAGAATTCTACCTACCAGAAGTAGCCATGGCCAAGAAAATCAAAGTCCAGAAGTCAAGTCTGTGAGAAGGTCAGTCAGGTGGGTTCCTAGGTAACAAAGAGATGTGCCTTTCAACAGCCAGAACAGGGATGCTGCTCCCTCCAATAAAAGCTGCTAAACAGAATTATTGCTGCTGAACAAAAGGCAGACAAGGTAGGTCACTGCAGTCAGTGATTCCAGGCATTTCCTGGAGCTGATGGCCAGTGCTGGGAATACTGGAGAGGTTATGGAATTACTGGCATTGCAAGATCTGTGTGATACTCGAGCATCTTCAATCTGTTTTATTCCACCTGCAGGTACTCGAACAAAGACTCCCGTTTTACCACGGTGCTAGGGGAATCTCACTGCTCTTAGAAATATAAAAGACCTCGCCGAATAAAAAAATGACGCACCACAGGACAGCACAGCCAGGATTCCTGCCACTCCCGAAGGATCTGAAATGTGCGCAACCGAGCTCATTTAAAATTCGGTTTTAATTGCGCAGCCCAAGTCAGATGCTTCACACCGCGGCAGACAAGCGAGGGCGTACACCGCCCAGCACGCCTCGCGAAAATGGGGCGCGGTAAAAAAAAAAAAAAAAAAAAAGCCAGAAAAAGGTCTAGAAATAGATGAATAAATGGATAAATAAATAGATAAATCAATAAATAAGGGGGTTTTGGGGGTCGGAGGAGCGCGGATCGCGGTCCGGGCGGGGCCGGGGACCGCGCGCTCCCGGCCCCGCCCCTCCGCGGCCGCAGCCAATCAGCGCCGAGGCGGCCGCGCGGGCCCCGCCCCCGCCCCGCCGGCCGCACCGAATTCAAACCGCCGGGGAGAGCGCGCGCGCGCCCGCGCCAGGGGGCTCGAGCGAGGGGGCGGGGCCAAGCCAACATCCGGGCACCTGCCGCCCCCCGCCTCAGGTGCGGCCCCCCCGCCCACACCGCCCGCCGCGGCCCCGCGGGGCTGAGGGCACCGGCAGCGCCGCGGGAGCACGGGGCTCCGGCAGGGCCCCCGCACGGCTGGATGGCGCCCGGGCGCGGCCGCCCGGATACCGCCCCTTCCCCACTAACAATGGCGGGGAGGGGAGGGGGCGCCGCTGCCGCGGGTAGGGCGTCGCCCCTCGCTGAGGGGACAATAGCCGCCCCCTTCCCCTCCGCGATGGGGGCGCCAGGGACACACGCGAGGAATCCCCCCACCATTGTCTGCCTTCCCTTTGTCACCGCAAGGCTCCAAAACCGCGCGGCGACGCGCTGGCCGCCAGCGGGGACAAAAGCGACCCCCGAGCGCCCGAGCAGCGCCGCACAGCCCCCCGCCGCCCGCCCCTCACCTTGACACCCGCCCGCGGCACCCCCGCCGCCGCCCCTCTATCAACGGGGCGCCGTGAAGCACCGACACCTCCCCTCGCCTTCCTCCGCCTCCTCGAGACGCGGACGGTGCGGCGGGGCAGGGCAGGGGGGCCCCGCGGCCCGCCCGTGCCCGCGCCCCCCGCGGCCCCGCCGCGCACCCACCTGCCCGCGCCGCCGCTCCGGCCACACTCCGCTCGCGCCC